CAATGCCGTTACTTTAACGACCCTCGTCGGCGATGGCTAAGCAAGCGGCACGTCAACCTCGGCCGAAAGCTCTCCTGCAGACGTATTCGCTTCCGCGCGTTGCATAATATCGCGCGCTCTCCGTCTCTCTCGCTGCCCTGGAATATCTCCTGCCCCCCCCCCCCCCCCGCCCCCCCGCGCTCGCGCGCACCGACATTCGGGAGGGGCTCCATCGTTTTTCTCTCTTTCTCTGTCAGGAGGCCACGCACGCTTACGCGCGCCGTTTCTTTCTTTCGTAACGTCGCCGGCGCGAGTTCGTTCACCTCTCGCGGGCGCTTCGCCGTCGCCGCCGCCGTCGTTGTCGTCGTCCTGTTTGCTTCTCAACGAAATAGCGAATTTCCGTTGCTCTCCCGATCGGATTTATCGTCGCCGATGATTCAAGCCCCGATCGTGCTTTTCCAGTTTTGTTTTTTCTAAAGAGCGGACGTCGACCTTTTTCGAAAATGTATTTATTTATGCCGAGTTGTGCGCTTTGATGTCGTCGCGCGCTCGATCGCTGATATATTCCGACGTGCGTGCAACCAAGCGTGGTTATTTATAAGTAAATATCGACCGCGCCAAGACTTTACGAAACGAAGCAATTCCGTCGAAGAAAAAAAAGTGAGAAAAAAAAAAAAAAAAGAAACAATACATTTCGAAAATCCGTCTCTGCGATTGCGCGGCGGGTGGAGGAAGAGTTGCGCGAGCTTGCGATCGATCGAAAATTAATTGTAATTGCCTGCCACGGCGACGGCCGCAAATACAATCGGCACGATACAGTTCTTTCGCGCGAGTGAGCGCATTGCGTCATAACTCGGTCAGTGAACCGTATCTCGAGAGAGAGAGAGAGAAAAAAAGAAACACTCGCGCGGGCGTCTCTCCTCGTGTACGCGCGCGCATATATAATTTATACGAAAAGTCGACGGGCGCCACGCACTTCGGCGGAGAGAAAGAGGCGTAAAATAATGCGTCCCGCGGCGACACTTTCGCGAGGCGTATACGTACAATAAAAAAAAAAACAAGAAAGACGAATAACAAAACGGGTTATCATTTGGAAATTCTGTCGAGAGCGAGCCTCCGTCGAAACGCGTATGATTATATTTTCGACGTGCTCGTGTGCAGTCGAAGCAAGAGAGAGAGAGAGAGAGAGAGAGAGAGAGAGAGAGAGAGAGAGAGAGAGAGTAAATATAGGCCGCGCAATATAACGCATCGTGGTAAAAGTCACGTAGACCCCATATCCGTGGCGATTGGTTGGAAACGTGTAAAGCGCGATGGAATTTCTAATTGCAATTTGTTGCGGAATGAGCGGCGCCGGTGTGGGATTTTCGATCGATTGTCTAAACGACGCGAGCTTCCGTGCGCGCGACACTTATAACGGTACCTGTTTTCGTCTCCGCGCGGTGCGCAGCACAAAAGCAAAAGAAGCCCGAGCAATAAAAAGGGCCACAGAGATATTTTGGGTCGAGAGAGAGAGAGAGAGAGAGAGAGAGAAAGCGACGAACGCGAGTTAAAAAAAAAGATCCGTTAGTGGGTCCTCCCGAAACTCTCTCCTTCATATATATACTTTGAGCGTCCTTCCCTGTCGTATTATAACACGGAGGTGGAGGAGGAGGAGGAGGTAGAGAGCTAACGGGACGCATCTACTCTACTCGACCTTCTTGAAATTCAAGGAATTCAAGGTCGCGCCTGGAACGTTTTACTTCGAACGGTACAACCAGTTCGGTGGTGTTCCGAAACTCACGCAACGACAACAATAAAAAGAAAAAAAAAAAGAAGAAAAAAAAGCAGAAGGGAAGCGAGAGAGGAGACGAAGAAAAGAAGCGTAACAGTGACCGTAATTTCACAGCTGCACTTTTCGCGGTTTACGCTCCACAGTCCATTGTCGCTCGCGAGCTTGGCTTTTAACGTCCGCGCGGGCACCAAATTCACCGTTCTCTCCGAAGGTATACGCAGCGAGAGAGCCTTTCATCCGTTTAATGGGTCGTTCGAGGTCTGCGAGGGTTCTTTCTTATTTCTTTTTTTCGGCGGTTCTATGAGAGAGCCGTGGAAACTGGAGCGAGGAGCGCGCCCGGCAAACGGTGCCGCGGCCGAGGAGGTTTTCGCGAGAGAAAGGCCGACGGGCAATCGCGCTCGGGCCTTGCTCACCGGGCTGGCTGGCTTTGATGGGCTCGCGCGTTACGCACCTCGAGGGTCTGTCGCAGGGTGAGATCGGGAAAGAACACGTCCTGCTGCTGCACGTAGCAGATCCTCCGTCGCCATCTCTTGGTCAGCCTCTCCCGATTCAGCCAGATCTCGCCGCCGTCCAAGCCGATCCGACCGGACAGGCAGTTGAGCAGCGTCGACTTGCCGCAGCCTGCGCAAACAAAGTGCAAGGGCTTGGGTGTGGCGCTCGCTCGGCGGGCCTCGCCCGCGCTCGTCGCTCAATTACCTGACGGTCCCATGACGGCGAGCAGCTCGCCCGGCTTGACCACGCCCGACACATCGCGCAGCAGGGATCGCTTGTCCTTGACCACTTGCAAGTTGCGGAAGACCAATTGCACCGGGCGAGAATCCAACGGACATACTAATTGCAGCGCTGAACTTTCCACTCTGCAATCAGAAAACGAGGCACAACTGTCACATCGCAATCGCTCCGTATCCTTACGCGCCCGACTAGCTTTTTTGCCGCTCGGCCAGCAAGAGGCTCGCACGCAACGTCAGTCAGTCAGTCAGTCAGTCAGTCAGCCGCGCGTCGGACGAATCTGTTCTCCGTGTATAAGGCGCGGCAAGGCAACGAGAGAGAGAGAGAGACAGCGGACAGCTCTCGACGACCAGGTTTTCTAATGCGGCAGCGCCGCCAACACCGGAGAAAAGTCGTTTGACATAATCCGTCGGGATGACGGACGATGGAAAGCATCCGAAGACGTGGTCGCCGCCAAGGTCACGCGCGCGCCACTATGTGGAGCGCAAACTTTCCAATGGGAGATGCGCGCAGCCAAAGTGAATTTGCCCGGCCGCGCGAGCGAGTCCGCGGGAAAATTGCCTCGCCCGCGCGCTAATTGTCGTGATAAAAGTGAGCGCGCTTCCAGGCGCACTTGACCCCCTTCTCCCGCTCGGTTTTTCCTTTTCCCCTTTTTCCGCGGCCGATCGATCGGTCGACGCGCGCCCGCAAACTTCGTTCGCCGGATTGCCGATCGGCGAGAAGAAGAGCTCGCTCGTAATGCGATAAGCGCGCGCCCAACTTCGCTTGCGCCCCGATTACGAGTTTCATCGGAATCCATTCCGCTCGCATGATGCGCCGCGGAATTCGACCGCGCGCGTTCGCTTCCAGCTCGACGCGAGAGATATCATTTGTACTTTCATTGCCAAGCGGCTTCGGGACTGCTCGCCGCTGCGCGAGCGAATCATCGAGCTGGAGCTCGTCCGAACAGTCAGTCCTAGTCTCTTGATGGAAATAATAATGAACGATAATAGCCCGATCCGACCGACGACGGCATCACTTCGGATCTTGTCACTTCGGTGAAGTGCCGAAGAAACTAGTTCAACAATCTCGCGTTTATTCCGGCCGGATTCTTATAGCCGTCGTCGAGTCGTCGGACAAATTTTTATCGATCGGACGGTGAAAGCCTCGCGGCGATCGCGAGCGATTTTGAGCGAGGCAGCGTTCGCGCACGCATAGGCGGATCAAAAGCGCGAAAAACTCGCTGGCTGGCTTGACTGTGCAACCTACATTCCCGCAGCAGCTGCTCCCTCGAGAAAGAAAGAAAGGAGGAAGGAAAAGAAACGAAAAAGGAAAAAGAGCCGCTGCACCTCCCGCGCGCGAGAGGAGAAAGCCAGGGGGGCCAAAAACAGCCGGGGAAGACGAAGGAAAGCGAGCGATAATGAATTCCCGGCGTGCGCCGATATAATCGCGTCATCTCTCTCACTCCGGGCGAACGGGTTCGTTGACACGCTGCGCGCACGCCCAGCGATGACGCGATGTGTGTCGCGGCGAGTCTCGTTAACCAGTCGCGAGTGCGAGCGCCAGGCGCCGAAATGTCCTCGACGGACTCGCGCGCCCGAGGACTCTTTCCGCTCGGCAAGTCAGATTCGGAGAGACGTACGCTGATCTCGAGAGATAACGGTGCCGAGGCGGAGAGCCTGTTCTTCTGTAATCTTCGGCCAAACTCCATTTTTATTCTCGGAATTGAGATCCAAGCTAATCAAGTCCGTTAGCAGATCGCCAGTCCGAGCTGATATCGGAAACTGCTCGATAGCAGATTTCCACCTTCCGCGGGCTACATCAGTCGGCCAAGATTAATATTCGCGGCGAGGATCTTGCCTGTTCCGTCCCCGGAGAAGGGAATGGAAAAGTGGAAGATATATAGCAACCGATGCACATACAGGCAAAACAGAATCGATCGAGCGTGTATATATGTTTAGCGTCATATGGCAATTTCGTTTGGCGTGCCTCTTTCTCTCTGGGACGTGGATCGAACAAGCATACACGCGTACGTGCAGCAGCCAATCCCGTTGCACGCGAGCAACTTTCTTGAATGAGTAATCAAATCCAATCGTTAATTGATTGCTCGAGTCGAGGAACGAGCTGCCTTTTTCCTCGTACTATCGACGATAGATGCTGCTCCCTTTTCCCAAGACCCAATTGGAGCGAAGCTCCGCTACGTTGTCCAAATTTCAACGACGTTGTTCGTTACCCCGAGAGCGAAAGCGAGCCGAGCTGCTACCAAGCATTTATCTCTACTAGCGTTTTCTTTCTTCCTTTCTTTTTCTTCAGTTTTTCCTTATTTATTACATTATTTACTCGATAGCAGTGCTTTTCTACGGCCTCGGCCATTCCTATTGCTTATCATTTCGAAAATTGTATGTTCTTTTGTTGCCTCGTCGAAAACATCAGTCAACATTCTTCAAATTTATTATTCTGATAATTAGCTTCCGTTTCCCGCATATACCTCTCGCTTCCTCCATTTTATTCTATTCGCTTTTTCTCTCTGTCAATCGCATTTTACGGCGAGACTCTTCATTTCACAAATGCTAACCAAATTATCGATTTTTACTAATTATTCCAGCGCAATTTCAAACGATAACCTCTTATTTTCTTAAAACGATTTATCAACGGCATTTTTCCATTTTTGCAGATTATCATTCATATAATTTATTGAAAAATTCAACTTACAGCTGAAATATAAATCTCACACGTCAAGATATATAATACAGCTATTTCAAAGTGTATGATAATTCATGATTTCGCGCTCGTTTTTCGTAAAAAATACAACGCTGTATGTCGACGACTCATCATTTTTGAAAGATGGAAAAATTACACGGTAATTAATACGGTTGTGTCGTGCGAGAGGCAACATTATACGATAACAGAGGCTCGTACGCGTGGTAAATTCAGAAAAAAAAAAAACACAAATATATAGTCTGAATCGGTCAAGCAAGATTGGAAAATCGAGTCGCTGACAGTTAACCCGACTTGGGTGGAACGGACGGCGAATAGAGCTTCGATGCGTGTACTGCACTGGCTCGATCGCGTGTGTCGTAGCATTGCATCAAAAATCAGCAATGACGTTTATATAGATTTTCGTGAAATTTCAATGAGGCAAGAAAATTACCTCTCTTGCTTGCAGCAAGCGAGGCACGCAAATTCGACATGTAGAACAATTTCGCGCGCCACTTGCAGGCTGAAAATTCACTTGAACAATCGGCGAAAGAGCGCGAAGGTTGGGGGGAGGTCGAAATAAAAGCGAAGTCGCGCGCGGATGTATAAATTGCATCGCGAGCACGAGATGTAGGCTTCTGCTCGTCGCGCGGGACGCACAAGTTCGTTGAACCTCTCGTCGGCAAAAAGGTTATCGAACCTGATGTGCGCGTGTGCGCGTGTGCGCGTGTGTCTAAGTGGCCATTTGAACCTAACGGTCCCACGCAGCTCTGCTTGTCTAACGTCCACTTATCGGTTTGGGCGAGCCACGCGCCGATTCTCATTTTCGTTTTCTCCAGCGTCGACGCGGCGGCGAGGACGGTCAAGCCACTCGCGAGTGCTCGGCAGATTTCCGCGGCCGTGGCTCGGCAATGGGGTTCGATTTCGCGCGCCGCGCATAAAACTGCTAACGGGTTTTTCACGCACGGCGGTCGCCGTCGCGTTTCATCCATCGGACACGACTGGTGCCCATAGCCGCCCGTTCAAATGCGTTTTCGCATTTCCGTTAGCCCCGCCGAGCGATTAGCGAGCGCATCTGGCCGCGGCGAGGGAATGCCTCGGCGCGCCGATATCGGCGGCGGCGGCGGCGCGCAGCTTCTATTCTGGCGGGTCGCGCGTCGCGCGCGATGTTCTGGAAATCGCGGCGCGCGTCCGTGCAGGAATAGACGGGCGGCCGGGCGAGCAAGGCGCTTGTCTTGTCGATACGCCGCGCGCGTACATGCGGGCGTGTGCGCGGTGGCGGCGGGCGGCAGCCGGCGGAGCGCGCGCCGAGCTCTTTCGAGCTCCTCCGAATAAGAGCTCGACGATGGACGACGGGAGTGGAGGCTGCGCGCGAGCCTTCTCGGAACAAATTGATTCGCGGCTGTGCTCCCATTTGCTCTGGATTTTCCGTTCACTTCGGCGATCCGCCGAGCGCGCGTGCCGCTCTCGCGCCAGGCACTTTGCCGTGCTGGCGAACGTGACGATTGCCGACGCGGTACGTCAATCCCCCCCCCCCCCCTTTCCAAGCAAAAACACGCAGAAACGAAGAAAGAAATCGTCGGGAGATCAAAAGTGAAAACAGTTGGCAGTGCACGTTTCCGTCTCGCAAGCTCTTTCATCGCGCTGGTTAAGCGCGGCTTGCGTCCCTTCCTCGTCCGCCATCGCTGCACTCGCGCTCGCCGTCTAGACATCGGTGCAGCAGGAGAGCGAAAGAGAGCTCGCGCGCGAGCGAGAAAAACGAGCGCGGGCCAATATAAAGGCCCAAGCTCCTCCTGGACTCGTACTCCCCCTCGTTTCGCCTCATCGTCGTTTTAGCTTGAGAGAGAGAGGGGGGGGGAGCAGGACAGGGCACTCGTCTCTTGGCTTAACGCGTACCGACGTGTATTTTTAGGGGTCGATCTTTTTGTTATCGTTTCAGCGTGTTACGTAGCTTGCATCTTCGACGATCGGAACGATTACGCACGAAGAAGATATATTCCGCTTACTATTAGCCTCGTCAGCTAGCTGTGTCTTCAACGGGCTGTCGCTTGATTTTCCGATAGCTTCGGGCAGAGGATGCAGCGATTCCTCGATAGCTAATGCTTCGGCACTTATACCATAATCCGCGTTACTCAGGATCGAGTAAAATATATTTTCGATACTCCGTGCGCAAAGTGCGTCTTTCCCGCACGCTCGGCAGAAAACGTGCGTTGAAAATCGCACTTTCCACACGTCGTATAAAAAAATACGGTACGGCACATGTTCGGGAAAGAGTTTCCCGCTTCGCTCAAGCGTAAACGCTGCACGAGACAAGAATCTACTTTCCCGCACTTGTATCGTAATGTACTGGAAACAGCGGATGTTTTTTCGACTAAGGAGCTTGCGGGTTCCGTTTTCGATTGTAGCTCGAAGCGAGCGACCCGTACGATGTGGCAGCAGTGGTTGACTCACG